CGAAAATCAGGCAACGAGCTTTGCAGTCATGGCAAGCACTGCAGCATTTGCCTTCTCCTAGCTAGTTGGTTGCCATAGAAACCCGTGTTTGTAGATTTTCCCAGTACATTAACTCAAAGAGGAGGCTAACATTATTCCACTCCAGTGTTGGGAGAAGTAGAATAATTTGGTTCTAATAAATACATATTTGATAAGGACCTACTATGTGATAGGCTCTAGAGGAATCCACAGATGCATAATATACACGGTGCCTTTCTTCTCTCTACTGCCCGACTCACAAGGGAGGCCTGACAAGACAGCGGTTAGCTATAATGGAATGTGATCAGTACACTCACACAGGTGGAGAGAGCAGAACAATGAATTCTTCCTGAGGATTGTAGGGACTTGCGGAGTGGAGGTGACATTTGAGTAGGCCTTTATGTGAAGGATTAGAAAGTTTGTTAGTAGAGAACTGGAGTGGACATTCTAGGGACTAGCTTGAGCAGAGGCATGGAAGCGTGACAGGTTACAGAGAATGCTAAGTCTAATAAACCAGCCCAGCTCTACAGCATAATGAGTTTTGGGAATTATAGTCAAGTATTATTAACTCATACTTCACTACTTCCAAATGTGTTGACTATCATCCTCTCATACTACGCTGAATTTATCATGGCATTATCTAAATGAGTTTGCAAAGCAAAAAAAAAAAAAAATTAAATCTAGAAAAAGGATTTTTATCTTCTTAAAGGAAAAAATGCTGTTTTTAAGCACTAGAAGAACATATTCATCAACAGAAAAGGCTTTAGAGTCAGATGAACCTAGGTTTGATTTACTTAGTAAGTAAATGATGGTGAGAAAATTACTTTAATATTTTCTACCCCGTTTTTTTGGTTTTTACATGTATGTTGGAGATAACATTTTCATCACAGAATTATTTTGAGAATTAAAAAAATACTGTTGTTCAAGTGCCTGCAACAATGCCTGGCACATAATAACTGCTTAATGTTTTAAACTATTTAAAAATAATAAAGATTTGAGCCATTTTATATACCATGTATATTTCTTCTATGTTGCCTTGCAGGTTTTAAATAAATCTCTGACATGCAAAATAAATCAATGTCATATCATTTTAGAGCTTGAAGGTATAACTTGAAAGTGATCCAATTCAATATTGTCTGCTTACAGAGAAAAAGACTAAATTCTAAGGCACCATTTCTTATATATGCACGTTACCTGACTGGTTAGGGGGTATGCCTGACCTACAACTCAGAAATCCTAACTGACCCCAGTGTTCTTTGCCCACAGAACCACAGCTGACTTCCCCACTATTACGCATCATTAAAATGCATGCCCCAACCATTAAGCCTCAGGAAGTCACCTTAGAGCAATGAATGTGCACCAAACAGTACTATCGCTTCCTCCACTCAATCGGTCCAACTTACCAAAGTTTAACTTTTCATGCAAAACTGAAGTATATCATAAATTTTTCCATATAAATATTACCACTGGGTTCATTATGTTTTCTCAAGGGGAAAGTTGTATAGTTACGTGTAATGCTTGTCTTGGCCTAGTGACATTTATAACAGTAAATATCACCAACAGAACAGATCAAAACAATGTAACAGCTAAAAGAAAAAAAGTTTTATATGTGAATTAGGCTAAAGTGAATTAAGAATTGCTGACAGTATTCAAACTCGCGTCTAGTTCGAGGCATCCAAGCCACCGACATCCAAACAGGAAGAGGCAGTACCTTCCAGGGCTGGCCCAGCATGGAACTTTCTCTCTCTGATGTTGCCCCAGCAGTCAGTCTGGGGAACTGTATGGATGAAATCATCTCTCACCTCTGCCTTTCTGTCCCCTGTGTTATCCTATAAGATGCTTTCTCCACTTCTCCAGGCTCCTTCCATTTTCTCCACTTTTCACAGAGTCCTAACTCAATAAACTATCTCAAGCAAGTCTTTCCAGTTAACGTGCTCTCACAACTGTTTTTCCAACAAGTTTCTTATGAATCACTAACATTCATGAGCTCTTAGCATAGTATTGAGTACTACACAGAGGGCTCTATAAGAGTGAAATCACCTCAAACTTAACCCTGTTATAGTCTGTTATAATCTCCCTTTTCTGATGAGCAAAAAGGAGTTAAACAGGCTAAATAACTCATAAGCAATAGCACAAGATTCACAACTGAACAGCATAACTGCCATCTGCTGACTTAACCAATATGAAAATCCACAGTTCATAAAGGAGAGGGTGGCTGTCCCACATGCAATCAAAACACAACCTACACATTCACAGACACTTTCAAGCAGAAAGCCACTTACAGAGAACATTTAGCTCTATTGTTTTACAGACAGGGAGACAGAGGCATAGAGAGGGAAGTAACCTGCTCACAGTCTCATTCTTCATCATTCTGATTGTGCATCTTCAAGAAATATAGCTTTGGTTTGTTAAAGCGAACTAAATACGGCTTGAGAAGGACTCCGTACTTCTATATTTGACTCCTTGTGGGCCAACCTTAACCTAACTTAATAGTTAAGACAAGATTGAAAACCTGACTTAGGAGTATGCGTCTGTAACAATACCTGAGTCTTGGCCAATCTTCAGCGACTCCTACAGCAGCCATACTTCCACCACTCATACACTGCTGAGGGCTCAAACTGTTCAAATGAGGCAAACGCCAACCTGTAACCAGTCCAGTTGTTTCTGTACCTCACTTCTGATTTCTGTAGTCATTTCCCTTCTTTGTTCTACAAATTTATTCTGGCCATCAGGCATCCCTGGAGTCTCTCTGAATCTGCTGTGGTTCTGGCGGCTGCCTGATTTATGAATTACCTTTTTTTTTTCTTCCTCAATTAAACTCCTGTTAAATTTAATTTGCGTAAAGTTTCTTTTAACAGGTTCCTTGGCTTAGGTCCTGGAGGCAGTGGCTGTGCATTATTTTTTTTGGGGAGTGAGATAGCATTAAACTAATGAGCATATTTGCTGCTGCACGTAGCAGGTCAGATGAGGTAGGGGTTGGAGCAGGGAAGCTGAAGCATCAAAAGAAGTTGAGTCCTTTGCCTAGAGTCACTTTAGCTGTGACAGCTGGCCTGGTATTTACTGTGTTGAGAACATGTGGTTTTCAGAATATGAACTATCTAATATTTAAATGTTAACTTTTACTTGGTAGCAATCAGTTAAGCTGCATAACCTCGTGGAGGACCACAACAAAGTCCAGGTTACAATCATTGTAAAAGACAAAGGTAAGTGACACGTTAGGCCATCTTCAGCATCTTAATATTTCACAGGGGAATTGGTCTCATTTGTCCTTAATTATTAGCCAAGGAGAAAAAGTCTTTTCTGACTGAACCCAGAACTGGGATGAGGGTAAGGCAAAGAAGGCCTCTAAGATAGAAAATTTAACGAGGCAAGATCATGCCAGTGCTGACCCCACAGCTGCAGGGCCCTGAGAACAAGTGCCTCATTAAATTTTGTACACTAGACATCTTGCTTGCCTTATCCTCACCCAAGCCTTTATTCAGTCATTCTTACCCAATGTCTGGGTTCCTTCAATTTCCCTCTCCCCTTCATATGTCACTCATTTGAATAACACTGGGTAAACCTTCTTAAGGTTCCTTTATTTCCCAATCTATCCCAAACAGACCCTGCATCACACAATTTGAACTGCCATCTGGAACCTAGGCCTGAATGGGGCTTTTAGATAGCTGTCTGGACACTTGGCATCTGCTGTGAGCTAGCCAGAGGTGGCGTGGCTGTGGCTTTTTGTAAGGAGCGAGGAGCTGCACCCTGGGACAGCAGAAGTTATTTGGGCAATTTACGTAAGGCCTCAATCCAAGAAGACCAAGTGTACCGCAGGAATCGGAAACCCAGATGAGAGCAAACAGCAGGAAGCTGCACTTCTGCTCTGCCCAGTGTCCTTGTGTATCTGCTGTGGGCAAAGCACACCGGGTACTAGGATTAAGATGGGATCTTGTTGCTTAGCTAATCCTTTTCTGAGTCCCAGGAACCAATTTCCTAATCCTGATTCTTTTGGAATTTTCAATGGACCAAAAAGGGGCTTCAACAGTTGAACAGGTAGGGTAGCTCTTGGCCAACAGGTCGATAAGGATTCTTAGTTGCTTTCATTCTTAAGTAAAAACAGGAAAAGGTCAGCTCTTCATGGAGACTTTGCTTTGGTGTAGGTTTGGAGGAGCTGGAATCCCGTCTCTTGGTTCCCGGAGACATTCTTATTCTTCCAGGAAAACTTTCATTGCCATGTGATGCTGTTTTGATTGATGGAAGCTGCGTGGTGAATGAAGGCATGCTTACAGGTAGGCAGTTGTCATGGAGCTTCCTCTTCTCTGTCTGATATCGAATCAAATCAACATATTCTTACCTACCTTATACCAGACCCTTGCTAAGATATTCGGAGATAGATGAGGGAGACATAGCCAGCTTTTGCATTTATATGGGGACACACACACGTGATATACACAAACAGGAAATGTTTAACTATAAGAATTAAGTCACAGTAAATGTGAAATGAACACAAATGTTTACTATGCCATGTGATTAATTGACCAATGAGTGGGGTGAATAGGGTGCTTTGGGTTCAGAAGAGGATGAGAGCACTACACAGTTTGAAACACAATCTCTTGATAAATGTGAGAATGGTTTATACACATGTACAAAAGAGACACAACCTTGAAAACCATGACTCCCACAGTTGGAAGGGCATAGAGGTTTTATCCAACCCTGCACTCTATAGATAGAAAACTACTGAGGCCAAGGTTTCACTGGAAAGGAGTCTGAGTTGAACCTTCGGGCAAAGACAATCGCACATTTCTGTTCTTTAGATTTATATTCCTGTTGATCTTACTGAGCAGAAACTAATCTTCTAGTTATAGCTCAGGCAGTCCTAGTTCTCATCTGTACTTTGTTAAGTCTACTTGAATTTGTGTAATTAGTAAGACACTACTTATAAAATATTCTTTAGGCAAAAAATTAAAATACACAGCACATTGTAATGAGAGAAGAGACTATACAGCAACACAAAAACACAAACTATTTGTCTTTCACGCTTACAGACTGTTCAGTTTTTCCATTTCCAAATGGTATAAAGATAGGGAAAATGTTTTAACATGACTTAAATGTAGTAAGAGTTCATTATCTATCCCTAAATTGTTCAACACAAGCAGCTTTTACATTAAAATTGGTCTGCTTAACTCAAAATTGAGATAAGAAAATGTAGTAAACATCAATATGTTCAGAATAATTACAAAATACTCCTTTAATGTGTTGAAATGTGTCCTATAATGATAGTGATGAGGATTTGCATACTGATCATATCTTTTACCCAGAATGTTGCCATAGTATCCAACCTATAAACCTCAAGCCCAAGGAAAACTGTCCTTCTCACGCAAACACAGCAGCTGCCTCACACCTCCCAGCAGCCTGACAATGAAGAATGGCTTCTCTCATTGGTAACAGAGAGTGTGGCAGTGAGCAAACATGGGGAGGAAACACAGAAAGTCTCATTGCCCTTGGGCTGCCCTCTCTGCTTTCACTGTCAGGGGTGCACAGAACTTGCCTTGATTCCCAGGAAAACTCAGAGAGTTCCAGAGAAATAGAAATGACAAACAACGCTGCCTTTCAACAAATGTGCAAAATGGACCCAAAATGGCCTTAAATGACAAGTGGCTTCTTCTAGTTTCCCTTTTTGGAAAAATGAAGTCATCAGCACTAATATCTGTGTAACTTAAGTACTGATAGAGGCCAGTTTCAGAGACAGACACATGAAGCAAAAATACATTATTTCTTTTTTGTTAACTTATTCAGAAAGATCTAAATCCCACTATGGTCTAAATACTTTACTGCACAGCCTACATAGATCCTCCCACTCATGTACATATTTGTGGAAAGGATCTTGATTAAACAATCAGAGGATTAAGGTAAGATTCCTGAAACTGAAAATGTATTCCTAGGGAATTTGTCCACAAATATGACTCAGGTATTTCTTCCCTATCGAAATGGTCCTTTGCATAGATAGAAGTCTTTATTTATGTAAGAATAAAAATATCATTCCTAGCATCTCTATAGCAACTTACATTTTATAAATAACTTTTATATCTCACTTCATCATGACATAAAACAAATTAGACTAGGAGCTGTTAGGATACCACAAATGAGGAGAGTGAGGTAAAAAGACCAGAGATACTCAGCTAGCAAGTGGAAGGATCAGAATTGGAGGTGGCATTTGCTCCCAAATGTAAAGGACCGTAGGCATGAGAAGGATAATTCTAAGCTGGATGAGGCTGCGTCACCTTCCTGCCTCATCACCTTTTCCTCTCTACTTGGTATTGCCATCAATAGTACCCACTTTCTGGTAAGATCTTCTCCTCCTGGTCTCCTTAGCCTTATGCTATTGTCATAAATTCAGCTGTGCAAGAAGTTTACCTTTATTTTATAACTACACTTAATTTTTATGTTGGCTCCAAATTTTGCCATCCTTAAAAGTGTCCAGTGTGAATATCTAATATGAGTCAGACAGTTGTCCCCATCAGTTAGGTGGTCTTCCTCACCCTTGTCTGACTGTGTCCTAAGATGTGCAAGACATCAGGGAGAGGGGTCCGATTGAGGGCAGCTCTTCTTCCTGCTGCTCTCACTCCACTCTGAGCTGTCTGAGGCCTATCTACCTGGACAGGGAGGCAGATCCTGGTGCCGTTTGCGCTGCTTCCATAACCTTATCGCATGTTCCCATGTTCTACTGTGGTGCACACCTCTTCTCTCAGGGACACACAACGTCTGAGTCCTTTTGAATTCTCTTCCCACTCCCAGTACAAGGACTTTGGTTTAGCTAGAAATGCAGTAGAGGAAAGGTGTGGTGAGCAGAAAAGCTTTGTTCTTAATCTCAGGTAGTCTCTACAATCCATGATCAAACTCATGAAGGACTTAAAAAACTCAAAAGCCAGTGATCAACTTCCCCGTCCTTTTCTTCTGCCATCTTTCCTGAAACAATGATCACCTTCAAAATCTAGCTCCTCTCAAATGGGAAGAGTCTGGAGACAACAAGGAATCTCATTGGGAGGGGTGTTTATTAATATTTAGAAATTATCTCTTAGCACTAGAGCTTTTTTTCTTAGCTCTCATGTATATTAGGCATTGTGCTAACATTTTACATATACTATTTCATTCAATCAGCAACTCTATTAGAATGGGCAAATCTGAGGCCCAGAAAGGGTAAGTAATTTGCCTAAGGTCACACAGCTTAAAAGTGGCACAGCTAAGATTTGGATTTGTTTGTGAATTCACTCATTCTACAGATATTTATTAGCCCCTACTATGGAGCAGGAACTCTACAGGTGACATAGAGGTGAACAAGGCAGATAAGATTTCTGCCCTCATGAAGCTGATATTCTAGTGACGGAGACAGAAAATATGAAAGTATACAAATGACACAGAATTTTCAACAGTTATAAGTTATATGAAGAAAATAGACGATATCTATTGTCTTAATAAATTTAATGCCTTAAATACAGGCGTTTTGTCCCCAGAACCTATGCTTGTAATCAGTGTTTCCTCATTCTCTTAGGGATAATTATGGCGAAGAGGGGTGGCATGCACTCTGACACAATCCCCTTCCCTCTTCTTCTCTTCATTAAGTTGCTGATTGATTTGAGATGTATGTGGGGGAAGCGTGCGGTGACCTGAGTTGGACATGCAGGGATTTCCCTATGTGATGATCTCACGTTGATATTCTGTCACACAAGCTTATCATCAGTTAAGGTCCAATCTTTTTCTCTCTCCCTTTGATCCTTTCTTCTTCTCTTTTTAATCATCCTCCTTCTCCCTTTTCTTTTACTTATTTGTTCATCCATTTATTCAATAAAAGCTCAGAAATGCCTACTATGGTAAGCACTGTGTTGCATATTGGTGTCACCAAGTTAAATGAGAAATGGTCTCTGGTTTCAAAACATTTACAGTCTAATGGTTCTAGAGCTATAAATTAAAAGGACTTGGAATTTCAAACACTGTCACCATGAGGAGGCATCTTGATCCTTGTGGACAAGGGAGAGAACCTCCACTTGACAGCACAGGGAGCCAACTGTACGGTTGATGATGAGCGATGATAGTTCTTCCCTCTAAAACTCTCTTCGGCTGCCTTGCACCCCACATCTTTGGCAGATGAATCATCCTTTCTTGGGCTCCCCAGAAAGGCCAAAACATGAGACTTCTTATTAACATGCAAATAGCATAAAAGAGACTTGAAAACCATCTTTCTGTAAAATCATCTGACTGTTGTCTCTGGAGCAAATTATCTGCAAATGACTTCCATTTCTGATTGATCAATACGTGACTGCCTCCAGTTTCACTGGTTTTGTGTGCAGAAAACGGTTTACTGATGTTAGCCTAAGTATATATTGTGGATTAATATTCTGTGATTCAAAAGCCAAAAAAAGGAAATGATCTGTAAGTATTTGCCTATTACAAAGGCTGCTTTCAAAATAATATAATACCATAATTTAGAGATTTGTCAAAACATTCTAACCCTTCTATGAAGCCATTTAGAATGCAATCGATAAATCTACACAATGGATGAATATCATAATTCTTTTAAAGAAAATGGTATAGTTCGGAACAATACTTGGCTAAAATAATTTTTTGAAAAATATTCAAGATTGCTAGTAACAATTTTATAGCTTCTTGCACCTTAGCGTGTAAAAAATACATCATGGCAGAAAATGAATTTTGAAAAACCAATCATAGACAAACTTGGGTGTTTTTATTTAATCTGTGCATTTGAAAAAACTATGTATTTTGAACCTATTACATATCACTAGGAAAACGAAGAGTATACCAATTTATATCTGTCAAAGTTCTTGTTCCCAGTTATTACCTAGAAAGAGAGACAAGACCTAAATTTGTGTAACTATGATTGATATAATACTATTTCCAAATTAGAAATATGACATTATCTTGCTAATTGAACATTTAGTAAAAGACTGATGGAATTTTAAATTCATTCTAATATTAAATCTGGGAGCCAAAAAGTATTATGAACATCTTTATTTTGTCTCTGAAATGTATCCTTTTTGAACTCTGAGCTCATTTCTTTGTACCTTAAATATTCTGTCTTATAGCCACCAGGGAAAGGAAAAAAAATTGCTACCTGCTAAGAATGGGGGTCAATGAAAGGAAATGCAAGTGGCCTAGTTGAGCTGGAGTTTGTGCAGGGGAATGACAGGCAATGATGTTTGAATCGTGGTAGGCTTTGACAATTTAGCAGGACAGTTTGGGCTTTCTTCAGTAGTGGCAATGGAAAAGCCTAAGGATTTGGGGCAAAAAAATGGGATAATAAAAGTGGGGCTTGGATGGGCTCTATCTGAAAATGATGTGGAATAACTACTATTTTCTCACCTTGCTCCATGAGCTTATGAGGGCAAGATTTCTGTCTCTCTTGTTGTTCATCATTATTCCTAGCACCTAGCACAGTTCCTGAAACAGAATAAGCACCTAAAAATAGTTGAATGATTGATTGAACAAATGAAGAAATGAAGAAATGAGTGAATACAAAGCAAACAGTAATTACTGTTCGCGTGCTGGAAAGCTCCTTCATTGCCTAAAGTAGCGCTGGGCTGAATGAATTCTTGGGAGAATGATTAAGTATTCAGCTAAAATAAGCTGCCTTTAAAATTGTGACAACAAACCATGCAGGCCAGGTATAGGATAGTAGGCAGATCTAATCTAAATATTTGCAATAGAATCAAGTCTACCATTGCTTGTACCACCAGCATCTCTATGAACAGTCATCTGACTCATGGGATGGGCATTAAGACCGGATTAGTTGTAGTTTGTATCATTTCTTGAAACCGGTATGCACCAGTTCTAACTAACTACCCGAGCTTTCATAGATTCAACAAAATACAATCCTCTGTAGGAGAAAGTATACCTGTTACAAAGACACCGTTGCCCCAGATGGAGAACACCATGCCTTGGAAATGTCACAGTTTGGAAGATTATCGGAAACACGTCCTCTTCTGTGGAACAGAAGTTATCCAGGTCAAGCCCTCTGGGCAGGGGCCTGTAAGAGCAGTCGTTTTGCAAACAGGTTAGTGGATTTCACTTTTGTAAGCTTAATTCATGCTTGAATATGGGGAGAGTTGGATTAGGGAAATTTAGTTTAGGATTATGGAGTTTGCCACATTCTGGTAGGTAACAACACGGTTTTTTCTAAACTGACCCTTATTATTGTAAAGTGTTACTATTTTTAATTAAATGGTTTATTGTTAAAACCCTTCTATGTAAGGAAGGGTATGTGTAGGTGAAGTAAAATTTGTCAAAGGTAAAACTATGCTCTTCTTTTTGCTTGCGACCACATGCTGCTTCTGTCTCCCTTGACACCTCCTCTGAGTGATTACCAAAAAACAATTTCAGCCACTATGACTGAGGATTTTTTTCCTTTCACAGAGTTGCTTGCTAGGCCATAGGTCAAACTCACTAGTAAAGAACTCCACCTGGGTGCCCTATAGACAAATTAAATGAATCTGAAAGTATTCATCCTCTTGTATTGACTTTCTCTGTTAATATCATCACCATCGTGCTGGTCTCTTAATAACATCTCTAACTCCTCTCGTTTCCCATACCAAATGTGGCACCAAATCTGGATGATTCTGCAAACGCTTCCTGAGTCCCAGTCTTTTACATGACATGACACAATGAAGGCCTCCTATGACCGGGTCCCAGCTCTCTGTTCTAACCTCTGACCTGTGTTTCTGCCACCCGACTTATTCACAGACACAAAATACACTTTACACTGCGATACCTGTATGCTTTAGTTTGGTTTATGAGTAGTTGTTCTAGCTGATTTTTTAAAATTAAAAATATCAAGTTTTTTAAAATGTTCAAACTAGTTAGCAGGCACTAGATACTAGGGCATCGCTCAGCCTGTGGCCTACATGGAAGCTCATGGTTACAAATCATGAAAACCACCTGAATACTTATAAAATGATTAGGTAACAGGTTAGAGGAAACTCTACTCTTCCTCAAAGACAGTAAAGCCATTTTTAGGAGACCAAGTGTCCATCAAGCAGCCTTACTTGATCTATGACTATCTTTACATAGGTTACAATACAGCCAAAGGGGACTTAGTGAGATCCATCCTGTACCCCCGGCCTCTGAACTTCAAACTATACAGCGATGCCTTCAAGTTCATGGTGTTCCTGGCCTGCCTTGGTGTCATGGGTTTTTTCTATGCCCTAGGGGTATATGCGTACCATGGAGTAAGTACTGGGGGTGAGGCTTTTCAATAGTATAGCTTCTGCAAAGAGCTTGACCTAACTCAGAGGGCTGGATTAGGTTACATCTTGATCCTATCATTCTATGAATCATTACTGTCCAGAAGAGCTTCTTAGCAGATTTTGCCTAGTTTGGCCCCAGTGTTTAGGTAATACCTAAAACACTACGCAATCAGTGGGTTTCTCATGTGTTCTGGTTAGGGTCTGAAATGAAATGAAATTTCCACTTTTACGGAGCTGGTACCGCATGAGATACCGACCTCCCTTTAAGCTACAGGGTGTCAGGTTTCATTTGGATGCCCCTCATCATAGCTTGGTGGCTAGGGAGGGAACGGTTGTCACTAAAGACCTCTGAGGTCCTTTCTGGTCCTGAGAGTCTGATGTTGCTGTGAACCACGCAGTCTCTATGTAAGAAAGTCTGGGATCATAATAGTGTGAGCTGGTGGGGAGGAAGAGAACATTGTGAATAAAACATCCAAATAGGTGAAAAACTGTGTGAGTGGCTTAATTACAATGTCCAAATTGGTGGCATCAATTCGTGTGTGTGTGTGAGAGAGAGAGAGGTGGGAAGTGAATATTGGTGGGCAAAGACATAGTTACAAGAATTTCAGGGCAATGTTCACGCCAAAACTTAACTGCTGAGTAGTTATTTCAATCTGAAATCGCTCCCAGGGAGCATTTCTGGGTCAAGAGAGGCCCACGATGGGGCCTATGAAGAGCTAGGCAGAATGTCAAGGTCACTGGGGCTGGAATTTGAGGGAGTATGCCAATTTAATCTGGGGAGCTGGAGCACTGGGCAGAAAAGCAGGAAAAAACCTCATGGAAGCCCTGGCAGTGTTTAAGAACGAGGTTTCCTGGGAAGAGCTTAACATCCAATACACACTGAGGCAACAAGACTAAAAATCCCAGACCCCACCTTCTTATGGGTCAGAGCCTGTGGCTCTGTTGGCTGCCTCTATCTGCACTGGTTCAGGGTTAGACAAGGCTGAGTCCTTGGGTCAAAACTCTTCTGTGTCTGTGGTTGGGAAAAGGAGGGAGTAATGAATGTTGTGATAAATTGATATTGGGCAAAAGATGTCCCCAGCAGACATTGCTACTGAACTTGAATCCCATGTTTCCAATAATTTTCCAATAATTAAAAAAGTATTTATGGTTAAAATGATGGTTAATTGAACAAAAACATAGGTAAGGTTCTAGAGGGTAGAATCATTAATATCTAGAGCATGTGAGGAAAACGAAACAGTCAATCAACCCTGTGATTTGACCTTATCCCCGACCTTAACTGTGTGAGCCTCCTCTGCAGACCGGCTGTATTAGTCTATTTTCACGCTGCTAATAAAGCCACACCTGAGACTGGGTAATTTATAAAGAGGTTTAATGGACTCAGAGTTCCACATGGCTGGGGAGGCCTCACAGTCATGGTTGGAAGGCAAAGGAGAAACAGAACATGTTGTCCATGGTGGCAGGCAAGAGAGCTTTTGCAGGGGAACTCCCATTTATAAACTGTCAGATTTAATGAGACTTCTTCAGAATCACAAGCTCATTACGGGGGAAACCACCCCCATGATTCAGTTACCTCCCACTGGGTCCCTCTCACGACAGGTGGGAATGGAAGGGAGCTACAATTCAAGATGAGGTTTGGGTCAGGACACAGCCAAACCATATCACCAGCCAGGGATCCTGAGTTCACAAAATTGACTTGATAATAAAACACGTTGGTCATGGATTTGTACCCTGGAGTCAGACAGAATAGGATTCAGATTTTTGTCATTTACCTAGTATGTGGCCTTAGGAAAATTATTTAATTGTTAAAACCTCAGTTTCCTTACCTGACAGATGGAGAAAATAATAGCATTTACGTCATAAGGTTGTTATAGAGAGCAACTAAATAATATATGTAGCCTAATACAGTTCCTGCTCCAGAATTAGTATCCAGTGAGAGCAAGCTAATTTTATATTGGCTTCTCTGTAGTTAATAATATATGCTGAGATCTTGGCATGATCTTGGTCCTAGTTTTTAATTATACTGCCATCTATTCAATCTATGTACTGAGCACCTCCTCTGTGCTAAATCTCGCGCCAGGCTCTGTATCTAGAGATCAATAAGGTAGATTCAAAGATGAATAAGCCATAGCTGCTCCACCCAAGGAGTTTGTAGGCTAGTGGGGCAGAGAGATTCATAAGCCAACAGTCAGGCTTGGGCAGCGGGAATGGTAAGTAGAGGGAAACAGAGCCAGGACAGGGGATGGTGGACTGGGAGTAGGGATCAAAGGTCTCCTTTGCTCTGCAGTAGGAGACAATGTGCTCGTCCCTTTGGCACAGCCAAGAGAATACTCAGCCTCACCAAGACAGCCAACTCACTGTGAATATTCAGAGCATGTCTCTAGAGCTCCCATGCTGTTGTAGGAGCAAGGTGCTAGGAAGGGTGCCAGTCTCCTGTGCTGTGTTATCCTGTATGAAAATGCCTCTCCTCTCCCAGGTCCCTCCAAAAGATACTGTGACCATGGCCCTGATCCTCCTCACCACGACTGTCCCTCCAGTGCTGCCGGCTGCCCTGACCATAGGCAACGTGTATGCTCAGAAGAGACTGAAGAAAAAGAAAATCTTCTGTATCTCCCCACAGAGAATCAACATGTGTGGGCAAATAAACCTCGTGTGCTTTGACAAAGTATGATCCAGACTTCCCAGGTTTAACGTTAATGATTTCAAGGCACGGTGGAGCTGTGAAGAACCTCAGAAAATGTCTAGTCCAGTGTTCCCATTTTACAGATGGGAATGTTGAGGCCAGAGAATGTCACAGAGTGAGCTAGTGCAAGGTCTCATTCCAGGAGCCTGCTCTGCTGACTCTTAAAGTTAGCAGCTTAGCCATCACATTATGGTTTTTTTTCTTTGTGACACTTAATAATTTGTGTGCCTGGTTTGTGGTTTTTTAAAACCATCTCTTACTATAGTCACTTCTTAGACTGACTGACTTTTTCAGGCAAAAACATATGAGGAACGTTTCTGTTTCCTGGAATGTTTTGTCCAGAAGAGAAGTGAATGTTTCCTCTCTCCTCCTCTGCTTCTTTTAAGGAAAAGAAGGAAGGAAACAAGGACCCTGTCTTGCCCCTTTGCTCCTCCAGGGCTTGTGACTCCAGGCGAGGTTGTCTCTGTGCTTAGGGACCTGGAAAGGTGGCAGAGGAGGAGCATATGCCACATGGGGAAGACTGTGGTTGCCACGCAGGTCCTGATACCCCCCATGACGTGAGTCTCCTGTGGGGAATCTGGAGGACTTCAGCATTAGCTGCCTGCTGTTTGGATCCTGCCCTCAGCTTGGACAGGCCAGTTTAACTGCTGTAAAGCGGTGGGCCTGGCTGGGTCCCTCTTGTCTTCAGTTCATGTGCATTTGAATAATTGATTAGGGTTTTTGCCATTTTTTGGCAGAGAGCCACTGCTGTGTACAGTGCTGGTAGAAAGTCTCATAATGAGTCATTCCTAGCCCTTGAGAAGCTTCTAGTCTAGCTGAGAAAGCAGGAAAATGGGAGTGTAGACGGCGATCATGCTGTGAGATGTGTGTTTAACAGAGGTCTGAGGAAAGCATGGGGCACAGTTACCTGCCACAGTTGGAGGCCACCTTTGAGCTGCAGCCTCGGTTGTTAGACAGAATAATCCCCGGGCTCAGAGCTGAGCAGCTGAGAAGCACAGGGGTACAAGGGGCCCACCGCATGTGGGGAGCCGAGGACTGTGGGGTGTGGCTAGAATATGGGCTGGTAGGTAGAAAATGAAGCTGGGCTGAGGGCAATTGTTAAGGGT